CAGAGGTAGGGAGGAGTGGTAGAAGGGCTTTGCCTGCTGGATACAATAGGATGGACCTGCTCTCTGGAGGAGTTGTAAGGGTCTGCAGCATGGCTGCAGGGAACTTCCGATTGGAATGCCTTTCCCAGGGCAGCCCTCAGGTGCTGTCTTGTAGAACAGCGGAGATGTGAACAGTGTGAGGGGACTCTCCAGCTCGTCCTTTGAAAATAAACCTGAGACAGAGTGCCTGCTGCGTCATGCTTACTTAGCCAGTTCCAGTAACTGAGTTTTCTGTTGTTCTGTTTTAACTACAAACAGTTCTGGCTGAATAACAGATTAAAGAAATAAACCAAGGTTTGGTTCCACTTTCCTTTTTACCTTTCGCAACCTCGCTGCTCCATTGTCCTTCCCATTTAGGGCTACCATTGGTGTCTGGGACACCTTGATAAAGCCTCAGAAACTGAGAGGTCGTGTATTTGGTGCTTTGGTTTTAATCTGTAGCTCACTAGTCTATTAAGCAGACTACAGAGCACAAAACCACATAGAATGATATTAAACAACAGATTGAGGGACAAGTAGAATAGCTTTTCAACAGAGAAGTCTTTCAAGGAAAAACAACCTGCACAAAGTGTTAACCTGTTCTTGCACTCCTTCTCATTTGTACTGGTTTTATACTTAATCCATACCTGTAATACTAAAGTGAGGGCTGGTGTTTCAGCCCGCCCACTCTGTCAGACCTGCAGCTCAGCCGTTGGCATCACTCTCTGATGAGATGACTGGAGGTCGGCTGAGAGCACATCCTTTAGCGACTGTGTTTGCAGAAATATTCCCTGTGCAACGCTCTACACTATGGTAAGAACAAAGAGATATACAGAAACAGATGAAGCCTCGAGGAATGAAGTTTTATTCCAACATCAAACATTTCAAAACTTAAGAAAGTGTAGGGATCTTAGCCAGGTGCATGACATAGGAAAATCTGACTTACAAGAGAATTTAAAATAAATTATAGTATCACTGCTCTCCAGAGTCAGGGAGTACAGATTTCTTTGGGATTTTAACGTCTAATTAGTATTAAAAGATTAAAAACTCAGAGAAACCTTGAAAAGCAAACAAATTAAACCACAAAAAAGCCCCAGTTTTAGTCTTTAAATGGAGGACTGACATTTCCATAAATCAAAGCTTCAAGGAATTGAGACACACATACACTTTAAAGGTAGAAGCACATAAATGGAAAACATAGATTTAATGTATAAGCAGGTAGCTATAAGCAGGTACCTCCAAAGCAAAGTAATTGACTTTTCTCATGTTAACTTTGTACACAACAGAAAAAAGGCTTACCCCACAGGCAATCTGCTTCGCATCCCTTCTTGCTAGGCAGCGTGTTACCATTCTCGTTGCTTTTCATGAGGACAGCAGTGCAGTGGTGTAGCAGGACTTCTTCATGTCAGGCTCCAGGAGGACTTTCTGTTTGTACATTGAACAATTCCCCCTTCTGCTGATCACAGGGGTTCATCTTTGACATTCGTACTTTGCCTACCGTTTTATGTCCCTACTAGACATACCACTGAACTCAGTATGAGTCCTTTCGCCATTGAAGTAGTTCGAGCATGTTCTGTCACTCAAGTTCCTTATTGTTTTCCCTGCCTTGTTTGGCTGCCCAAACTCTGATTCTCCAGGTAATTTAGGTAGTTTCTAGTTAAAACCACTGTTTTAAGTGACTATTTTGTTGTTAGTTATATCCTTTCTTCTGTCTTGCTTACCCTTCTTTCCCCCTACCACCCGTTCATGCTAATTCAGGACCATATTAAATTAAAGCGGGAAAGGGTCATAGAGTGTCTCAGCTCTGTATAAGGAGAGTGATTTCACCCACAGATACATTGCTGGGTGGATGCCCTATGGTGATTCTTCAGATACCTGCGTGACTCCTAACTTTAGGTGTTTGAGTCTCCCTTTTCCCACTCCTTTCACTCTGGAGACTCTTACCTTCTTAACAAGCTGTTCCAGAGCCACAGATCTCTCCAGTGCCTCCCAGCTCACCCAGAGTTCTTCAGATTTCCCAAAAGCACTTCACCTCTTTCAAATCTGATTTCTGTGTCTCCCAAGAGCAGTCCCAACTTCTCACAAACACCTCCTTCATTGATACCCCAAGTCCTTCCCTATTTTGCTCTCTTCTGATGGAATAGCCCCACTGTTTCAAAAAAAACCTGCCCTAGATCACTTCAGCTTTGATATTCACCAGTCACAACCCCTAGGCCTATTTTTATTTCCCAGCTCACCTTCCAACTTAGTCTAAACACATCTTCTGTACGGCTCTCTTACAGCTTCCCTCTCTCCACCTGTTGCTTTGCCCATACATAGTTGATGGATTTCTAATTTCGCAAACACACTCACACTTTTCTGTTAGCTGCTCCTATCTGCTGCCATCTCCCATTGCCTGCTGCCAACCCAGATGCTCCAGTCCTGGTTTCCCCAGAGCAGCAAAGCTTCCTGTGGACAGCCAGAAGGCCACAATCAACATTTAGCACAGTGTCAATTAGGACTTTGAGGGCACAAATAAAGACTTTACAGGCAGGAAAGATGTTTCTGATGGGATATGATGTGTAGAAGACGACTTTCACCTTTCACTACTCCACCTAAAGCACTGTGAGCTTTGGCAGCTGCAGCCAGAGCAGAGTAACTACCCCAGCTTTCAGTTCAACGTTCTTGATCAAGGGATGCTCAGCCTGTTATGAATGCACAGTGAGAGCTGTATGGCGAAGCGCATCACAACACAGTGTGGTGCGGTGCTTATTTGAACACTCGGGCCTTCCTCCCATAATTACCACTAACTGAGAGTTAATCAGCCCCCTGATCCAATTCCAACTCTCCCAGTTATCCAGCTGTAGCCTCAGAGGTGTCCCAATTAAACACAATGTAAAGACTATAAAACATGCACATAAGCTTGGCTCCTAGTGAGGCCTCTTGATTAAAAAGACATCATTATTTCACACCTCTGCTAATTAGCACTGACAGTACCTCTGATTTCAGAAGAATTTGATTGCTTCCAGCATATTACCACACTGACAGCTGATGCAGTCCTGTATACCACTCACCACTCCAAGCACTGGTCTTGAGAACCATACTGTAAAATGACCTTACATCACCTCTGACAGTTTTGCTAGGAAAGACTGGTGGATAAATACTCAACATAGCTGGAAGCTCTCGTTATGTAAACTGCAGAGAGCAGAAATTTTGATTCTGCAGTTTACATAATTTTCATTTCCTTATTGCCCTGGTTCTGTATATCCTGCTCCAGGTCTTATTGCAAGTTAATCACAAAGTGGCTCTTAATGCACACTGTAAAGGAAAACAAGCAGTATAACACTAAAACCAGAATTACAGTTGAAAATCTACCAAGTTATTTTACTTAAAATGTGCCAGTTAGTTACTTCACAATTACACAAAATTAAGAGAAACCAGTAAGATCTATTGTTTGTGACGGCCATACTTAGACTCCACTAAACTGAAAAATAACCAAATGGCACAGATTACATCTGGCTGTAGGTTGTTTAATCATAACATGAGCAGAAAAACTGAACACTGATAAGTATTCCTGAATTGCAGGCCCATTACTTAATCATGTTTTTTAATACATTAAAAAAAAAAACCGACCTTCATTTCAGGTGTAAAAGAAAGAATGCCACTGTCTTCTATACAGAGCACTATCCACGCAGAATCCAGGAAGTAGGGCACAGCAAATTATTTGTATTTCTATTATCTTATTCACAATTCAGGCCTTACTGAAATTAACACAGAGCATGCAGCAATACCAAATATTATGTATTAAAATATATATCCTGCTGGGAATACTTAAAATGTTTTTTGAAGGATTGTTACAAATGTAAAATCCATGATGGATGCATTTAACTATGTGGTTTTTTATCCTGTGCAGTTTTCTAGATACAGAATGTGCACATAATTTCTGCCTTAAAATGAAAAATACACACATAGCATGGTTTGATTTTTCCCCCGAATTTGGCTACAGGTGAACAAATCTAGGTGAACTGTAGCTTTACCCAGCGCAATAATTCAGCATTCTTGCAATAAAATCTCCCAGATGCTAACATTGTCTTTAAAAGGCTGAGTGGCATGTCAGCTTTGAGAAGCACCTTTGGCGATAACATCTTACCTAGACCGACTGCTGGCACTGGGCAGCACCAGCCTCCTACATCATACCCCAGCAAAGCCATTCACAGCAGGAACCTCTGCTCTGACACCAGAGTTTGACACACTGTGTGTGAAAAACTTATTGATAAGGCATACTATTCTGTTCCAGCATGCAATACTAAATAGACACAATTTCTCTGAACCATTTAAGGCATCCAAATAACTGAGAGAGTTCTTTATGAGAACGATTCTTTCATCTTTGTTGTGACTCAGATGATGTGATTGCCTGGCAGCTTTCTGTTTTTACAGTTCTGTGCTTTGAAACACAGATTTGAAATTGCACCACCCTTTCTTGGAACTGCATCTTGCCTAAGAATGAACTTTAAAGACCGAATCTTAATTCCAGGGTGTTTCTCCCATTTGCTAGTTGTCCTTTGTTCTGTAAGTACCTGAGATCATTTTCCATGTAACTGGTAAGCATTTTGTAAGTGTGTGTGTTCAACCACAATGAGGTCTCAGAGTACAGAGGTGAGTCCAATATAGTTTTTACAGAATTATGTGGCTTTAAATTGAAGTTTATGATGAATCAATTAGGTATAGAGTACCAGTAATTGGAGATGGAGTGCATTCATTCAAGCCAAGCAAAATTTGACAATCTTCAGCCTCCAATTATTCTCTTAAAAGTCTGGCAGCAATGCAATCTACTCTACAATCACTTTTGTCAACAGTGTGCTATTTATATGGCAAAACATCTTCGTATCTTATTGCACATTTCCTAGACTTCAGATAATGTGGTTTTCCTCACACTCTGACCTGGGAATAGAGGAACATTTCCAATTTTGTGAAAGTCCAGAAGGGATGCAAATCCCTGTGACTCAAATTCAGACTAAATTCGATGCTAAAAGAAAGCTGCATCAACTAAACAGCTCTCTATCTCCTTCCAGTGACTGTAAAAGAAGTTGAGAAGATTAGTCCAGAAGTATGTGCCTTCACTGCAGATGTCTATAGTTAGATAATATGAATTCTATCTGACTAGAAAGGAAAGACAGCCAACTGATGCTAAGAAAGCATTGATGTGACTGATACCAGAATTATGCAGAATCAGTCAGGTGAGCGTAATAAAAGAGAGACTTAAAGGTGGTAGAGGATGCTGGGAGGAATAGTATGAGGGCTCAAGAAGGTGGTTTGCAGTGGAATGCATTGCTATAAGTGATGTTAGTTCTGACTGTATGTTCCTGTGGTCCATTTTGAGCTTCAAGTCCACATTGGTCTTAAAGAGCAGCCTCAGGAGTGCTGAGAAATACAGCTTTCTCTAACAGCTGCCCCAGGCTCCGTCTCCATGCAGGTTTCTGTGTGTCAGCAATCTGCCCAGATGTGTTCAGTGGCCCTTTAATCTGTCCAGTGGTACAAAACCCCCATCATAGCTAATGAAGAACAGACGGGCTTCAAATGGTCTTTCAGGCTATGCTGGGTTGCGTGACTGCAGTTTTCTTAGCATCAAAGAGCACAGCAAAAGATTTTACGCCATCAAAGATTACGCCAAGTTAACTGCCCATCTCTTCAAACTGCAGCCAAGTTCTGGAAGACGGAATTGTGTCAGAGAGGTAACAGTAAGGATGAAATGCATAATTATACTCAGTTGAATACATTTTGTCAAATAATGAAATTGGCTTTTGTTTAGATTGGAAATACTTACATCAGAGGGTATTTTTACACCAGGCTTAAACTACAGCCAAGGTGCTAAGCAAATAGGCTCTGAGAGGAATAATCAGTATGATCATCATTCAGAGTGCTGTGTTTTTCTTCCAAGACTCATGGAGGACTTCAATATCAATTTCATATGCTTCACCACACCCCGCCAAGGTCAGCTCCGCTGAGAAGCTGTGGCTCTGTGCTGCTCTTTGGGTCATTTTCTACACCAGATGCAAAGTTTGTAAAGAGTGCAAAGCTCTACCTCAACAGAATAATCTTATTTAGCAGGTGCCCTGCACAGATGAGAATTACTGCTGCAGTGGCATAGCCTTGCTGAATGCTCCAAAAATATCACTGGCATAAATTAGCTCTGTACCCTAATTGAAGAGCAGGAGGAAAAACTATCTCCTAGTTCAGTGGCTTAGCTGCAAGATTTTCATTTTTCCTGTACATTATATATTAACCTCAATGCAAGTACTTGCACTGCAAACATTTTCAAGCAGAAGAGTAGTCCCAATGGAATAATTTGTGTTCATCAGGTTAAATATATGCACATAGTAAATCATAGGATGGGAGCTGCCAAGTTATACCTGCATTGGGAGGTACTGTACCATCAAGTTTTGTGAGCAAGATTTCCCTTTGTAAACAGTAAAAGTTTTGATTTATAACATATTTGCATTGTAGTACTAAAAGTATTTACTCAATGCATGCCACTGAAGTGTATGAAACCAAAGCTAGGGTGTATATATTCCAAAGGTGAATAATGAAATAAAATGTTAATACTGCAGACTGTAGAATGTGCAAACACATTAGAAATGTCCATCTGAGTATAACCAGTAGTAACAAGTAGGAATCTTGGAAATACAATGGACTGTAATTAAAATAAAAGCATTTGTTTGCCTAGGTTGCAGTCATAACTTTGAGCCGCAACATCCAAATTCAGCCAATTATTTCAAAAGGCTCTGGCATATGTGCTGAGGTTTGCTGCTCTTAGTACTTAGAAAAGCGTATGCTCCTTGGAATGAAAATTCATCATGTTCAAAAAACATTGCTTTGTGGGTTTTGACATGTTTATTTACAGGTGTCGTGGTTTATATCAATGTGATGTCAACATTATTCTCATACCAAATCCAAAACACAGAGCTAAGCCAGTTACTAGGAAGAAAAATAACTCTATCCCAGCTGAAACCAGAACAGGCTCACTTGGTAACCTTTATCTTTGGCTCAGATTTGTGAAATGTTGGGATGGGTAGGAGCAAACTACTTCCCTGTTAAATTCAGAACTGACAAACTAATGACCTCTATCTCCCCTTACCATCTACCTCTTTAAAATATTGAGTGTGATCACTCATTCTGTTTTAGGACCATCTACATCATTTACATGTTACCTATCAGTGACCTGATGCAATGACAGAGCAAGATTAAAAAAAAAAACAAACCACAAAAAAAGAGGGGTTTGGTTAACCAAGGACTAGTTGTTAGTGACTTTAATCAGTCTTGGAAGGACTACAATAGACTTATGAAACAGTTACAGGAAAAGGGGAAGAAAATTTTAATAAATATTAAAAATGTAACAGTCTCTGGGCTACATTGTCACAGGCCTTACACAGCATGAAGGCAGCAAGGCCTTTCCCATTTCCTTGCTCAGATCACAACGAGCTTTATATTTTTTTTATTTTGGATCATCTCCCTGACCTAGTTTACAGCTGTACTGATGCAAATAACGCAGTAGTGAAGAGCAGCATGGGCAAAGAGAACAAAAAATATTCTAGCTGGCAGGAGGGGTGGAGAGGGGAGGGACCTTTGTGAACCAGACTTACAGCTGAAGAAGATGGGTAGTAGAACTGCACCCTGTGAGCTATGTCTGGAGATATGGGTGGCCTTCACTTCTGAGCATCCTCCCCCAGCTTTGAAGAGACCTAAAAATGCAGGAGGGCATATGTGGATCATGTACAAGGAAGAAGAGTGTCACAATTTCACATAAATGTCTGCCAACTAGCTATTCCTTCTACTCTAACCTTGGCAGATTAGTCTTGTCAATGTACTCTCACACCAGGTCTAGCTGTCCCCCTTTTGACTTCTGTTACATCCCTCTTCCCTTTCATCCACCTCTCTGAGACCTAAATAGCAGGGGAAGGTGGAAAGGAGAGGTCCATGGGAGGGGCAGCTACCCCCCAACCCAGTCTGCGTATGAGAAGGGGAGAAAAAGAACCCCAAAGAGAGGGGATGCAAGGACTCACCAAACGAGAGCAGGCAGCAAATCCGCAGCACCATTTTCTGCTTTGCACTTTGCTGAGAAAAGTGTTCCTGTAGGAGCCAAAGAGAAAGCTCGACCCATGAGCTTGACCCAGGACCCTTGGCTATCACAGGAAGACACACAAATGAGAAAAGCCTCAGAGAGCCTGGCTTAGATTTTAAGGAACTTTGCTCATTGGCGATAAAAGGTTTGTCTTGAACTTTTTTTGACTCCTGTCTGGCAACATGGATTCATTGGGCTGTGTGGTATTCAAAGAGCAACATTAGCGTGAAACATTTAAAAAACCTGCTTACTGCTTTAGAGAGCGGGCAAGTAAGGATAGCCAAAGAGGCTTTTCCACTCCCTGGCTGAGAGTAAAAGTGGGCAGCCACATGCTTACCTTTTGAAAACATTGCTGTCTCTACCTGTAGTACCATGTGCCATTAGCCAAAGTCTTTATAAACAGAAAATTTCACGTTTAAACTTATGTATGTAAGAACTCAGCTAGTGAAAGGCTTATTGCAGTCTGTGTATTTTCCTATATGTAGGTCCCCCAAAATAGTCTCTAAAGTATCACAGAATTAGAAAGACTCATTTTCTGCCAGACTGTCCCACCCTTATTCATAACGAATTTATTCTTCTGAAATTATGACCAACTTCATTAACACTTTTCCCTGTTTTCTAACCTATTCTGTTGAGGTTAAACTTGGCTGTCAAAGTGGGGAGCATTGTGCTTCTAAAACTATCTATCTTTTTTTCTGAACATCTATTTTACACTACAAAAATCACATTTGATAAAATCCCAAACCTCTGATGATCCTGTGGAACAGTTACACAGTTTTGTCCCTGGTTAAACAAATGCAAAGTCTAAGATGTTGCAAGATAATCATTTATTGATGGAAAATAAACATTCTACCTACTCGGTGCCAACCCACTGATTAACTTCAAGGACTCAGACATGACTCAGAAACAGAGGTGTTCAACTGACAATACCTTTACTCCAGCATGGCCTTACGTCATCCTTTTCTCTGAGGAAGCCACAGAATGGGTAAAACAGTGGCTCTGCCATAATTTTCACTCAGCTTTTCCATGCCCCACTTCCCCTGGCCTTTAGACATGGCAGTGAGAGGATCCAGTGGAACGGGAGAAATCGCCATGGGGGAGGGTCCCTTTTCTGAAAGCCTCCTCAAATTCATGGAGACAGTGACAGCACTTGGATTTATTCCTTAGTAATCAGTAGGCTTTGTCTTCACCCTACTGGTGTGTTTAGATCTAGAAGTTCAATTATATTCTGCAAAGGAAAATGTATCTAACCTGTAAAGGGACAGGGAAGTGTTCTACTAGTCCCATGGTAAATGTTATGAGCATCACTGCTGTGCAGAAACTGCACCAAGAAGTAATTAACATTGTACTCAAAATCGATTTTTCAATTCAGCAAATGAACTAAAAGAACTGAAAAGCTTTATTCCAAACCACATTTTGCTTTTTTGATGAAAACCAACCAAAACTATTTTGTTTCATTGACACTTTTGTATGGGAATCATTTCAGACGTATGCATTGGGAAAAATAAGCAAATTAAATGATGCATACCATTCACAAAACTATTGAAGGAGCTGCTATCTTTTGCACAGCCTCAACTGATTGCCAACTGCAAGCTTAACCAGAGAGGAGAAATTTTGAGTTGGCCACAGACTGAGATCTAAACACAACTCTTACTGCCTAAATGGATGCCCTAACCGCTAAGCAACTGGGCAGAAAGAGATGGCATCCAGTCAGTCTCATTTTTTTGGATTTGTACAAAATACTGACTTTGTGTCTCATATAGATCAAAAGAATGGTGATAGTCTGGAAGCCA